GGCCACTGCACTCTAGTCTGGGCGACAGAGTGAGACTCCAACTCAAAAAAAAAAAAAAGAGATGTGGTGACAGCTATCAGAATGTTGTTAGAAAATAAAAATAAGCTCAGATAATAAAGCCAAATGGAACCAAAACAGTAAAATTTATTGTGCATTTGTTAAGCTGACACTACCCTGAAGGGAACTATTGGCACTTAATGTTTCTTTCCTTAGTAAACCATCAGGTGAGAGCACACAGAGTGAGTCTTCACTAACTGGGTTCATTCTTAAGTTTTACTGTCAAGTAAACTAGCTGTGCATGCTCCACATCCTTTCTAGCATGTTGTCATTCTTTACTTCTTCCTATAAAGATTTTGCAGTCACTTGGTTAGATTTAAAATCTATGTAAAGCCAACAATGGGTAGACCAGTGGGAAAAAGCTACTTGTAATAAGTCATCAGAGATGGCTTCTAGGAAGCTACTGCTGTTCCTTCCGGCTGCCATCAGATTCTGCTCTAATTTTTAAAGACCAGCAAGGCAGTTTTTATTGCTCTTTTTTCAGATCTGTTCCTCTGCTGGTGTTCTTGCCTGCCTTTGAGATGGACTTTGTGTACACGCTTCCTTGGCAGTTTTTAACTTACCTATGTGTTCATATTTGGTCTCTTATTCTGCAATATTCTTTACTAACCTTTGTTGATTTTAGTAAAGTCCCACTTTTAGAAAAAATACTTTATTTCCTAGAGCAGTGTTAGATTTATAACACTGGTTAGAAACTGTCAAGCTCCGATGATTTATTATTCCTCACAACTCCCCACCCCACCCCCCGCAGTGTCCTATATTATTACTAAAATGTGGCATCAGTGTGGTGCATTTGTACAGTGGTGAGCCAGTTTTGTTATATAATTATTAATTAATTAAAGTTTTTCATTAACATGAAGTTCATTCTTTGTGTCCTACAGTTGTGTTTTGCCAAATGCATAATTTTATATGTCCACCATTGCAGTTTCACACAGAATTATTAATCCTAGCACTTTGGGAGACCAAGGTGGGGAAAAAAGTTACAACGATATTAAATCAATTCTCACATGGTGGTTGCTAAATAGTAATTCTTATTCTATTTTTCTTTCTTTTAGTAGTTAATATTCCTCCTAAAGCAGAACTTTTCCTCCTTAACCCCCTTCACTTTTTTTTCAATCAACAGACTTTGTTTTGAGTTTTGCGGGGGGGAGGTCGTTTTTTTTTTTTGTTTGTTTGTTTTTTTGAGTTGGAGTCTCACTCTGTCACCCAGACTGGAG